ATCATTTTTCTCATTTTTTTTTTTTTTTATCAATTCACTTGTGGAAGGAAATGAACTAACTCAAAACCAGGTGACGTGAAGAAGAACCCGGAACTAGAAGCTGATGTACTGAAGTCGGATTAGGTCTCCATTAGTAATGGCATATTGCGTATATACCTGTCCACTGAGCGTCCAACTAGAGCAACAGTAAGTAAGTAAGTAAGTTTTTATTTATATACCGCCTTTTCACTGCAGATCTGAGTCTCAAAGCGGTTTACAATTGTTATTTTTGGGCATTTGTCTCTCTCTCCACACAGAGATGGGAGGGGCCAGTACAGGAGGCACATGCCAGAACTATTGGACATATTTTTAGTGGTAGGGGAAACCGGAGTACCCGGAAGAAACCTACGCAGACACGGGGAGAACATGCAAACTCCACTCAGAAAGGCCCTGGTCCGACTGGGATTCGAACCCAGGACCTTCTTGCTGAGAGGCGAGAGTGCTATCCACTCAGCCACCGTGCCGCGTACATATATAGACCAGAGAGGATTTACAGCTGAGAGAGTAGTGAATGGGACGTCCTATTTGGGGATGGGGAGAATAGTGAAGAGCAGTATAATGCTGCAAGCCAAGGAGAAATTGCAAAAATAATTGTTGCTTGACGTGTTTGCTTGTGTAGGTGCCTTGTCTGAACTAAAGTAGGGTAAAATATCCTGCCGTAGCCGTCTCCATATATAGTACAAGTTGCGTTGTCCGTTGAACAAAGGGTCTTTTTGTGCGCCCCTCAGTTTTGGATAATTTTACATACATGACGTATTGTGGCTGCTGCCCGTTTCTTACAGTCAGTCAGTGTGGTTTAATGATGAATGGAGTGATTTAAGTAAATTAATATATCCTTCTCATTTTAAAGATTGTTTATTTGCAGCCACTGACCCATTCCCCGAGCATGAGCGACTGTGACTGGGCAGAGGTGTGCAGAGAAAGTGAGAAGGCTGAAACAAAAGGCTTCAGTGTAGGAGAATGAAAGAGGTAAAGTAAACAATATTGAAGACAGACCTGCAGTGTTCAGCCCTTGTTCAGCGCATGTGTGTCTGTGTGTGTGTGTGTGTGTGCATACGTACGTGTGTAGGTGTGCCTGCGTGTGTGTGTGTGTGCCGCGTGGCTCCAACCCCAAAGTTTGTACAGCTGGGTTTGCCGCTCGCTCCACAGTGTGTCAAATAACACACCTCAGTTCTGAGCCGTCTCGTAAATGTTATCACAAATCAATATGAGACTCAAAGCTGAGGTTGGCTCCTTTTTGTTATGGCGTCCACGGAAAGAGCTTGAGAATATGTCCGTTTTGTACTTTAAACAATCACTTGTTTGCCCAAGTTTGCAAATAGTTAAATGGACTTTGATATTTGCCACTTTGAAACTATGAGCGCTGTGCCATTGTATGTTGTGAAGATACTTTCACATTTTTGCCATTATCTGTAAGCTTTGAACTAAAGTGCATACTTGTAGAGAAAGGAATTGCTATATATAAAACTAGGGACACTTAAAGGAGCCATTTTAGCTGCTAATTGTCAGAAACATTGTGTCCTTTATGCGCACCCAAATATTTGTGAAAAGAATTAGACTGAACATAGTTTTGAGAAGTAATATTATTCTAGATTTTATTTTGTTTTGTTGCGGCTTTATATTATTTACACAAAAATAATAAATTATCATTTTGGCAAGGCAAGGCAAGTTTATTTGTATTGCACAATTCATATACAAGGACACCCAAAGTGCTGAACAGACATTATAAAGAGCAAAGATACAATCCCTCTGTTCTATACACAGCTAAACAAGACCGTCTTTAACCTGGATTTGAACAATGTCAGAGAAGAAACCTGTCTCACGTCTTCAGGAAGACTGATCCAGATTCTAGAAGCATGAATCTGAAATTCAGCCTCTCCATGTTTAGTTCTGACTCTGGGCACTAGCAGGGTGTCCCGTCCCTGTCCTTTTCAGAGTCTGAGTTGGTTAATTTTGTAGTTTTGGCCTCGATTTTATACCTGTACGTATAGTTTAGCACCACCAGCTAAGCATATATGCTGACATGGTGGCACACCTGTATATATTAGCCCTTTCAGGTCCATTGTCTGAAAGTCAACACACACGTTGTCCATCATTTATGGCCTCTTTGTGCTGAGCAAGCCCCATGAGCAAGGAACAATAGAGATAAAGGCGATAATGCGATTTGTCTGCACTAAAGAAACTCTGTCACTTTACGTCATCATTCTCCAAGGTGTGTTGTGAGAAAGTCGGAGCACGCCCTGATAAGAACGGACCTGCACACTTGACAACCAGAGGCGAAGATAATATAGCTTGAAATGGTCCAACTTTGAGAGCGCATTAGAGACTTGTTGTTTCACATTCAGAATATCTTCCAAATAACTCTTGAGTTGATGTGAAACAGGCAAGAGGTGAGGCCCTGAAACTGAGATAGAAGGCTACTGAAATCAATAACAGGATTAAATTAAAGTAAAATATTTGTTAGCCTCATAGTAGGTCTGGGCAATATATCGAATTTAGGCAATTAATCGGCTTTTGAAAAAAAAGTTGAAAAATGTGACAATTGTGAAATCAAATGAAGGATACTGTGAGAGTCCCAGCAGCACATGAATTATACTTGCAATATCAGCACAGTCTGTACAAGACTTTTATAACAGGTATTGAAAAAAAAAAAAAGTGCATTGAGGCTACCAAAGGAGATGTAGGGACACTCTTTTGGAAGCCTTGTTGCTGTATATATGCAGCTACTTTTGCATCTAAAGGGTTGATTAACAGAATACATGTTGTTTCACAAGTTACACATTCAGAATTTCTTTCAAATAATTGCAGAATTGTTAATACAAAAGTGTGTTGCATTTCTTTCAGAACAATGTTATTTAGATAGAAACTTTATTGATCCCCGAAGTAGAAATTCAGGGCATTTCCTGTCATGACATCAATTATAATTTTATCTTGCTTCACCAGAGTCTATTGGAACCTGGATAACAGAAAATCAAATGTTTCTCTAATGCATTTGTAGTGTCTAAACACAGTCACACATATGAACTTTTCATTCTATTATCACAGTACTAAACTATGTAGTTCGCATTGAATTCCAGCTACACTTTGTCTTTCTCCCTATTGCCTTCATTGAGTGCAGCTCTCGACATTGTTTGCCTTTCCACTGTCATAAGGTAAATAAGCAATGAATTAGTGGCCGGGCTGCTCCCAGGAACAATGCCAGATGTACAGTCCAGAGGAAATCCAATAGAGTGAAGAGTATAATCAGTTTAGCGCAGACAAGCAAGGAGAGAAAGGCAAGACGGAGCAAATAAGTGACAGCAGAGGTACAGTGGAGCGGTGGATTAGAGCCAAAGACATGATAATGCTGAAGACAAGGCCTTGAGGGAGTAGGAAGAACTAAAGCCACTTGCTGTGACACCTTTTAGGGACATTTTCAAATGTACTTGTCGATGTTATGGATTAGCATCGGACATAGGACAAGTGATTTAAAACTGATGAAGGTTGATGGTTTTACCCACGCTATATTTTATAACTGATTCTCTATTTACTTAATACTGATTTTTGTGCAAATGCATGAACAAAAGAATGAATGACACAGCTAAAACATTAAAGAGAAGGGTAGATATTTTATAGGTTGCATTCATGTGACATCAACACATTCCAAAAAGCCTTTAAGTTGACATTGTGGAGGACAGCAGCTGAAAAATCATGTCAAAACAAAAAGTATGACAGTCAGTGCATACCAACTATGGTCTACTTATTGTCTCATAAAAAGTTTCTAGAAGTGGTGGCAATATTCAAAAGAACATACATGATGTGAGCCAGTAAAAAGGACTTTCAGACAGAAGAATAATATGGCGGGTTTGTGGGTAATCCCAAATGTAACAAATATTGATCTGGGAAAACATTTGGACTGGCACCTGCCCTCAGACTGAACTATATTTCTTGAACATGCAAGAGACATATTAAACTTGGAGTGAAATGAAAATGAATCATAAGCTTCCCTCAGCTCATCTTCTGCCTGTTGAATCTAACGGAACACGGTCTGCATGGTGAATCCAACCGCCTGTTGCATGTCTCGCTCCGCAACGCTCTCCTCATCCGTCCGTTCTGGGAGCAGTGCAGGGTCGTACTAGCTTCAAGGCTGACAAGTGCATCTGAAAGCACTCGGGCGACACTGAGGAGCACATTTAATTCTATTATTGCCTCATAGTCACTGCAACTGAAGCGCATAGAGGCAAATGTACCTTGTGAGACACAGGGTTCACCTAATAGACATGGCTTTATATCCTTTTCCTTTCCCCCAAGCGAACAAAGCCACACTAACAAATGCAAACAGCAGGGCCCTTGTGTGGCCAGCTATTTTCTCTGCTCCCTCTATTGTCCGCAGGTTTCATAAACACATTATTGTCACACTGTGCACTCTGCTCAGTCCCTTTTTCATTCCTTGGTTTGCCTCTAAAAAGCCCGTTGTCAAGACATGGTCATTTCCTCAACAATGCCAGTACAAGCAGGCTCCATTTGCTATAATGGCCCGTCCTTTGGAAACTTGAGCATTGAATATTCTACGAAGTAAACATGCTGTAAGACCTGAGAGTGGATTTGAAGACCTGCCAAAGAGCCTCCACATTCAATGTGCTACCAAGACAAACTCTTTGTAGAGCCTAAGTATACCTAAAGACTACTGCTGTGCTTCATTAAACAGCAAGCCAGGATATGTGGGGGTAGAGAGTGGGTACCTGAGCTTAGACTGAAATCTAGACTTTTGGAGTGGAAGTTCACTCGGCTAAACAAGGACAAAGGGTCATGCATTTAACCACATTTCCAAGAAATAATGTTTCATTCTGTTCTTAAGAACTTTATTATACAGAATTATTGTTCCTTTAAAATCCATTCACAAACTCCAGTTGTGGTCTTGTTATATCATAATTTGAATAATACTCACTTGGCCCTCTCATCTTTCCCTCTTTCTTTTCCAGGATGTCTTCCAAGCGACCAGCCTCTCCATATGGGGGGACAGATGGAGAAGTAACCATGGCAACCAGCAGACAGCGCATGGATGACGAGGAGAGCGAGGGACTGGGCGGGGTCATCCACCTGCCCCTGGCCTCATACTGCAGCAAAGTGTCTCCCAGATCGCCCCTGAACCGCAGCTTGGATAGCCCTCCCAACACAGTAAGTGCATATGGTCATAGTAATTGTACTGTACTATAGACACCTGTGTAGTCATAGCTGACTGAGGGCAGAGTGACATAAATATGGCAGCTTTGCTATGATTCCAATGACTATCAACCAGATAATGGGGCAGTTAGAGGATTTTTACTTGGTTACAATTATTTTCAAAGCTGCTGCCATTTCCAAAAGATGAGTCCGCATATGATAATATTAGCTCTATGAATTTCTTAAGCCGTTTGACAAAGCAGAATACTAAATGTCCCAAGTGAGTTTTCAGCTATGAACTCAGATCAGGTTCTTTACCGGGTTCAGAAGGGGCTGGGAGCTGCTTTAATGGATAGAGACAGTAGTTGGTGACAGGAAACATGAGAAAGAGGGTATGTAGTGCAGCAAATGGCCTGAGACAAGAAGTTGAACCGTGGCCACTTCGTTTCTCACCTTGCACTAAGGTGGGCCAACAAGGGACTCTAAAATACACCCCGCCATTTGTCTCCTAAAACTGTATGTATCTTTTTTTCTGCTGGAGGCTCTGACATCTTCTTGTCTCCATGAACATGTCAAGGCTATGTTTGAAAGGTTTAGCAGTATGTATCACACTCATCTCACTATGATTTTCAGTTTCAAAACTTTACATAAATAAGGCTGAATTTTTACTCTTAACTTAGTCCTTTATCATCACCTACTGATGAAATGCAGGGAAGCTATCATTTCTGCACAGAGACAAGCTGGTGGAGAAAAAATAGAACCTTCAAATTATCTTTTCCCTGTTGTAGAAAGTTATCATTCACATACTACTTTTAGCATCCTTTCTTTTAAAATGCAAGGGAGCCATGAAATGAGTAGGACTAGACACACAGTAGTCCGTTAAATGCTTAACAAAACTGACACTCGGGTGTTACAATGGTGATTGAACAGTTAACCTTTTCTTGGACAAAGCTTGTCTTTTTCTTGTGAAAAACAACTTAGGGCCAAAAGATGAACAAAACACTCTATGTCCTTCATTGTGATGTTTGTCACGTCTCATTCGTCTTCTTTGTTAAGTTTATTGGTCCTGTGCATTGTTTAGTGACGTGTGAGGTCATACTTTTTCCTGCTTACGACAGCGCATACTATACATACATCTAGAAACGTAGACAAAAGCAAATATTTTAACTCACACAATCCAGATTTGAGTATTAGTTTTGTAAAATGTCACAAAGTTTGCCGATATGTGAGACCACAGATCCCATTCTCATCGCCTAAACTTGTAAATAACATTTTCTGCATTGATTTGCTCCCTTGACAAAACCAAAGAGCTTATGTTACCCATGGAGGAATTCATGGCGGAAAGTGTCGCTGGATCAGGTTTATCGTAACAATTCAAATCATGGTGAGCTGAAATGTATCGCTTGATTATGACGCACCATATGCCTTAATATAGGTAGGTATGTTGCTGCGATAAAGACAAGGGAACATCTCTTCTTCCAGCATTTCCCTTGACCCGATATGACTCTGCTTCTTATACCTATAGCTTCGATACAATGGCTACGCAAATGTTGCTTTGCACCAGTGTCTTAAGTTACCTATGCTGCTATTCTGGCTACTCATTATTAGCTGCCTGCTTCTCATCTCTCCTTTGGCCATCTGCCCTCAGCATGCCTTCCCCTTCCAGCTTTCTGCTGCTGTGTGTTTGAGTGGCTTACTGGGCCATGAGAGACCCTAGGCCAAGCACCCCAGATCAGATCAAGTTTGCGTTAATCCTAAACTATAGCATTACTGAGAGATGGTCTTTGCGAAATGACTTCCACTAACACTTGACAAAGGGGTCCATGATGGCACTCACGCAGACTTACTCAATATTGTTCTGCAGGATGGAGTAGAAACACGTTACATTGTCAGGGAATAATATTGTACGGTATCAAAGTTAAAGCATTTAAAACAGCATATATATAACTCTACAACAAATATAATTGTACAACGTGCATGTAAGTATGTACGTTTCTGATTTTGTCTAGGAACCTACGTTGAATAAAATTAGTATCCCAATGTAGATCTGATATTAAAACTTTCTAAACAGAACATACAGCGGTTCATATACAAAGCCCCGTCCCAATTCTCTTCCAGAAATCAGAGTTAAACTCATGATGCTGTATGTGCAATTGTTCTTTGTTTTTTCTTATGCTGAATATCAGAACAGGCCTTAGCTGTATGTACATGCTTATGTGAGCTTTTGTTATTTGTGAGTGCTATTGTCCGCTGAATTTTAAGGAGCTTGTGTTTGCTGCATGTGACCAAGTGTAAATTCTATACGTGTGGTGCGAGTCGTAGCAATACACCAGAGTGATTAGAGGACTCCAGCGATTGTTTCATGTTGCCCCTTTGTTGTAATATAAGAGTGAATAAACAACCCGTAAACTATAACAGGGTTTTGAACCTAATATTCACACAAGAATCCAAAAATTACCGTTTTGGAGTAAACTTAAAAATGACAAATTCAGTGGCGTGGACAGGAACAAAAGTATAGTTTAAAAATGAATAGTAATTAAAGGAGCTATACCCGTTTCTGCAAGGTTTGAATGTTTAGCAACGCCCCCCAACTCGCTCAATGGCTTCTCATTTCCCCTACGCTCTCATAACAAGGAGCCATCTATTTTTATTTGCGATCTGATACGTATGCTAACATTTGCATTAGCGCAACTTCTTGTAAGCTGTACAACAACCACTGATGAAATGGTACAAAAGCAACGCACTGCTAACAAAATATATAACTGAAAGAATACCGCTAGTTACGCGTCCGAATTTGGTCCGAACATAGATAGTCCGAGGCAGTCCCGCAGGTCTCTCCCATAGACTGTAAGTTTCTCCAGAGGATACGTAAGCTAGCTTCTTCTTTGATCCTTTTTTCTCTTTAGTTCCCTCCTCTCTTCCTCGCTGTTGCGTCGTTTGGGCTGTTTTGCTGTGTCTGCAGTTTATTTATTTATTTGGAGGATAAGCCCCTAGAGATGAAACATCTCGTTTTCGAGGGGGTCCTCAAAAAGGTAACAGAGGTGACAGATACAATGCAATACAATAAAGTAAACAATAAAGACAAAGGACAAAAAGCAACAATAAACAATACTCACACACACACACACACACACACTCACACACACACGCACACACCATGACTGTTGTAAATATATTTGATGCAGACAATAAATAGTGAAAATACTAAACTTATTAATATTAAAGGCAGTAAACATAGGATTATGTAACCCAAAATCAAAAACAATGACACTGATTTTGGAGATTTCGCACAAGAGCATTCTTAAACTGAGCCAGAGAACTGAGAGAGGGCAAACTGTTCCAATCAGACGGTGCTTTAAATTTAAATGCATGTTTCAGCAAGAGAAGTTATAGCCAATTCTGCTAACATGCTACTGTGCTTAGCAGCGCTGTAGAGGCAAGAGCCGGTCTGTTCGCTGCTCGTTCTGTGATTGGAGGAGAGCGGGCGTCACGCTAAGTGTCTACTAAGCACTTTTATACGGCATGAGTTCATACACAAGCTGAATCAGTGAGCTCAAGTTTTCAATTAAATTACGGATTATAATACAAGAATTATTATGAACTCCTTAAAAAAAAAAAAAAAATTGGGTATAGCTTCTTTAAAATGTATTGAGGGTCCCGGGCAACGGATGAAGCCGAAGAAAATGGATGGATGGATGGAATGTATTGAAAATAGTAATTAAACTGGATTTGGATTCATTGTTCTTTTTGTCAGTCACACTATCTTCCCCATCATGATGTTTTGTTAAGAAAAGTTCCCTTTTTAAACATGGTTGGGCCTCTTGCATTGCGCTGCAGAGGTGGGATGACAGCCATTTGGAATTTCTTAATTGATCCTCAGGGTTATGGAACAAAAAGTCTAGTGAAATACCCAAAACTATTACACCAGGGCTGATCCATCAAGACACTGGATGATCCTGGACCGAAAGTAAGACTGGTACTAGTGTCCACTGCAGCCCATTAACCATCAGAGCATGACTTAGAAGACAACAAAATAAGTCTTCAATGGCCTTGTCTCTTTGAACAACTGAGCGTTTTGTTTTTGCAAGAGAGCACCAAACTCGGGAGAACCGTTGAGGATTAATGGGACCGTAGATGTCCTTCATATGACCGTCTTTACCACTTGGACAAATGGTCAAACTCGTCTCCTGGAAACACTCTATCAACATTACTGAGTTCATAGTTAAAACTTTGTGAGGGGGTTGTTTGTTGTTTTCAAAAAACTGCCTGCTCACTTTTCTCTGTCTCACTCTGTTGCTTAATGGTTCTCTACCTGGAACCTTGTTAATATCCAATCATGCCAAACATAGTGTTTTTACTGTTTTCAACTTAAGTTTTCATCACAATTGTCCATCCTTATTTGATAACACTCACTAGACAAATATGTTCTCATAGATTAGATTGTTTACTCCCAACCTACATAACAAATCTTTGTACATAAATCAACATAATATAATAGAACCACTTTTGAGGAAATAGCGGCGTTTTCCTGCCAATGCGTTTGCGAGCACCCTCCCTCTTTCTCCCCTTCTCTTTACTGTAACCAGGACACACGCCTCCTCCTTTGATAACAAACATTGACCTTTCCTCCTTTTATATACAGCTGATTATCCCAACATGCTGTAAAACAATGAAAATGTGCTCAGGAGTTGTAATGGAACGCTAATTTAGTAATTAGCAGCTGATTAGCTCCCACGATGGACTCTGGTTTACAGTCAGATTTGCCACACTCAAAGTCCTGGTGCTTCATCTCATGCACAACAGGAAGTGGAGTGGGACTATGTTAAGTCTAGTACTTAACACAAAGTGATCAAGTCATTCTTGATTCTTCAAATTCTTTCTCTTTTCAACTCTAAAAGTAATCTTCATTATTCTCCATTCAAGCCGCCATCCTTACCTCTGTGCTTTACTTACTTTATTTGTTTCCCTCTAAATCTGTGATACATTTGGCAGCATTGCACATACATATTTGGCAT